TTTTTTTATGATGGAAAAAAAGTGTGCATGCGAGATAAAATAAAATAATATTTGCACACACATATGAAAAATGCTCTCTTATGTTCCTCGTTAAATGCAATTTACACGAAGGAACTTTAAAGCCCCGTATGTGGCTAATTAAAAAAACATTTGTACGTACAACAAATGTAGAGTTTTTAGCAGAGTTGCGACGACAGGTACCTGTCACAGGTAAAGGTGACAGTTTCTGTCAAAAGATCACCTGTCACAGGCCGTTACCTGTTCACAGGTCAAATTTTTTTGCCTATCACAGGTCTGACCTGTCAAAGGTTCTACCTGTCACAGGTCGTTACCTGTTCACAGGTCAATTTTTTCCACCTGTCACAGGTCTAACCTGTCAAAGGTTCTGCCTGTCACAGGCCGTTACCTGTTCACAGGTCAATTTTTTTCGCCTGTCACAGGTCTGACCTGTCAAAGGTTCTGCCTGTCACAGGTCGTTACCTGTTCACAGGTCAATTTTTTTCGCCTGTCACAGGTCTGACCTGTCAAAGGTTCTACCTGTCACAGGTCGTTACCTGTTCACAGGTCAATTTTTTCCACCTGTCACAGCTCTGACCTGTCGCAGGCCTCACCTGTGACAGGTCGTCACCTGTTGACAGGTAGAAAAAATCTACCTGTCACAGGTTGATCTGTCACCTGTCACCTGTCACCTTTGACTATCGAAATTTTTTTCTTCTAGTGAAGTATAAAGATTTCATACAAAATTCATCAATTTTTTTGCTTCCTCAAGTCACGAGTTCAAATCTCACCGCAAGCAACTTTGTTTTTTTGCATTTTTATGATTTGTTTTTAAACTTTTTTGATAAAATATTAAGTTTTATGACAAAGTTTTCCATTTTCATATTTTATTTCTTCACTTTCTATATTTTAACATGTATTTTAAATTTTTTCCATATATTTTCATACAAATTCAACTTTTTTTGTCATATTTTAGTTTACCAAGCTGAAATCTGACACAAAGGCACTTTTCCTAGATCTGGATGTTCTTAAATTGTAATTTTGGATTATAATTTATTATATATTTCGACTTTTTGCGGTCTCGAATGACAAAGTCTATACTAGTTTTAATATTTTATGCCATTTTATTATCCAAGATTACGATTTAAGAACATCCAGATCTAGGAAAAGTGCCTTTGTGTCAGATTTCAGCTTGGTAAACTAAAATATGACAAAAAAAGTTGAATTTGTATGAAAATATATGGAAAAAATTTAAAATACATGTTAAAATATAGAAAGTGAAGAAATAAAATATGAAAATGGAAAACTTTGTCATAAAACTTAATATTTTATCAAAAAAGTTTAAAAACAAATCATAAAAATGCAAAAAAACAAAGTTGCTTGCGGTGAGATTTGAACTCGTGACTTGAGGAAGCAAAAAAATTGATGAATTTTGTATGAAATCTTTATACTTCACTAGAAGAAAAAAATTTCGATAGTCAAAGGTGACAGGTGACAGGTGACAGATCAACCTGTGACAGGTAGATTTTTTTCTACCTGTCAACAGGTGACGACCTGTCACAGGTGAGGCCTGCGACAGGTCAGAGCTGTGACAGGTGGAAAAAATTGACCTGTGAACAGGTAACGACCTGTGACAGGTAGAACCTTTGACAGGTCAGACCTGTGACAGGCGAAAAAAATTGACCTGTGAACAGGTAACGACCTGTGACAGGCAGAACCTTTGACAGGTCAGACCTGCGACAGTCAAAAAAAATTGACCTGTGAACAGGTAACGGCCTGTGACAGGCAGAACCTTTGACAGGTCAGACCTGTGACAGGCGAAAAAAATTGACCTGTGAACAGGTAACGGCCTGTGACAGGTAGAACCTTTGACAGGTCAGACCTGTGATAGGCGAAAAAATTTGACCTGTGAACAGGTAACGGCCTGTGACAGGTGGGCTGTTTTTGTTGACCTGTGACAGATCGCAACTCTGGTTTTTAGACAGCAGATTTTTGCAATTATTATGATATGTTGAATATATGTTTTTATCGCAATTTGCAAACATCTTCACGAAATGTATTTTATTTATTAGTGTAGACTGGATCGTGTGGCTTCAAGCGTTTTAGTTTTATAAGGAGGTGCTGGATCTCTTAAAAGAGGGGGTTTGAGATGACTTTTAAGACGAATTATAGCTTAATGAGAAATTTTTTATGTTATATTGATGATGAACCCCCCCCTCCCCAATCCCCTACTCTCCAAACACACAAAACTCACAAATCAATGTAAATTAATCTCTTCCAATTGTTTCTACCCTGAATTATAATCCAGCTCCATATTATTCTCATCTGATCCGCACGCTAGCTACACATCTCAAAGTTCTAAGACAGCAATTTCTTCAAAAGGAAGAACAGAAATTAACAAACGCAAATTTCAATTAACAAACATTTTTCATATTTCACTTGCAAGCACACACGCAACAAACATATTTTTTTTTCGTAAGACAATTCAAGCCGGAAATATTAATTTATGATGAATGGAATTGCACTAAATTACTGACAACATGTTTTCGTTCTTACTTTGTACTCTTCTTGTTTAAAGTGGAGCATCTCGTCTGAAGTTTTTTGTGTGTAAAATAATTATCATTTATGGCATATATTATGTTAAGTACTGGGATTGTTTCCTCTCCTCTGTTCAGACAAAAAAATGATTTATTTCTTTTGTTGATTCTTTTAATTACAAAATTCTTCTTTTTTTGCTAATGCTCATGTCTTGTTCTTGCCTTTCTTCTGAAGGTTCATCTTGTTTGACTTAAAGTGAATTATGGTGTTTTGAATATTTATGTAGTCGATTGGAAAATTTTATGTAGCAATAGTCATATTTCATATGTTACATAGTTCATTGAAGGGTTACATATTGGAAAGTAATAGACATGAGAATTTATGGGCTGTTCTTTTTTTTCGAAGAAGAAGGAAGGCTAAGTTTTTTATGGGGGAATGTATTTTTTAAGATGAGCTGATTATGGAGTAAATGGGGTGTACGTAGAAATGAAGATTTATGGTACCTTGACCTAGGTGAGAACAAATCGAGAAAGAGGCACCTCTGGATTAAGTACAAAGTCATTCACAACAATTTCAAAATTCCAGTTCCATAAAGTGAGCAATTCTCATATCAAATAGAATTTCAATCAAAAAATCTCAAACAACAGCCATCTCAATTTTCCCATTATCCTCCACTTACTCATTATTATTTCTCATCTTATTCAATATCATTTACCTCAAACAATACAGTTCAACAAAACAATAATAGCACCAACAACTAGCAATTGCCATTTATGACGGTGATGATTGAGAAGAGAATATGAAATAAAAAGTGAGACGAGGAACTATGAGAAAATGAAGCGAAAAATGATAATAATGAAGTGTCTGAGAACAGACTGAAATGAGATCTCATTGTGTACGTTAAAGAGGAGCCTATGGCATGCATTTTATGCTGTCACGACTGTACGGTTGCTATTGATATTAATGATGTGTTGCATTATTATTGTTATTACTATTTATATTATCAATTTCGCTTTGTGCCTGATTTCCTCTTTAACTTGCATACATGGACGGAATCGGATAGATGGGTTTCTTAATAAAAAAAAAGTTTGGGAGTTATTTGGGTTGATTGAATACGGCGCATTAATCGAGGAAACGTGAATATAAGTTGATCATTTTTGACATTCTATCTACAACAATCCACTCCACAGTAGCTTCAAAGTTCATGCTAAAATCCAATTGAATTCCATAAAAAAAGAACAAAATCAAGAAGAAGCTCAGCATTGTTTGGCGATTGTGCATTTTGGATATTTCATTTTATGCATGACTCATTCACGAATTCTCCGGGAATGGCGATGGAATGAACATAAAATAAGAAATAAAGATGAATATTAAGTGGTAGCACACTAAATTGTTTCACATAAAAAAATGAATAATTCTGTAGATTTTCATTTATGAATGCATGCGAGCGAGCAATTCTTTTGATGATTTTCTCCTTCTTCCAACGTATTCTTTAATGAAGATGCAATATGGCATGACTTATGCTCGTATCATTATGAAATGAATTATTCAAAAAGAATTTTTATGTAGTGGAATTTAATTAGGCATGATTTGAAAGACTTTTGATTGCTTCTTTTCATTCTTTCTTTGGGGATAAATTGCAGTTTTATGATGAAATTAAAATTAAATCATGACTATATATGAAGTTTCTCTGAAGGAGCTTAAGAATTTTTATGGTCGAAGATAATGGAACCATGAATCATTTTTGAAGGTTTCAATTTAGTACTTTAATTTATAAGAAACGCATTAATCATGAAGTAAATTAAGTTGGGATATCTGGAGTGAATCTCAATGATCTTATTAGAATCAATCTAGTTTCTTGAAGAATAATGAATAGTCTTTAAGATAGTTTTAAGGTTAACCAGTCATTGATTGGCTTTTTAACGCAGATGTTAAGTATTTGACCTTCTTACTTTATTCTACGAATTTACATTTAATAAAAGTGACTCTAATGAGTTTCGAACCCATGAATTAACACTGAAAACAATACAATCTTGTACTTAAGTTCTAGTTCAAATCAACTTTAAAGCTAGTTTAAGTCACAACTATAATAACTGACTGAACGCACATAAAAACTGACCAACACTCTAATTTCCAATAATTCTCTAATAATCTCAATATTTCATTCCAAACTTCAACCTTTCCACAATTCACAGAGCAACAATAAGTACATTTTAAATTCCAACTTGCATAACAAGTTCTAAATTCCGCACAGACTGTCAGTAACCTCAACATTTTCAACATCTTATTAGCAAACCCGTGAGAATTTCCTTTCTCTCAGCTCTACAATATTTCATTTCATGTTTTTCACATTTTTTTCATTCTGCAACATGTTATTAGCTTATTAGTTCCCTTTACAGGTCATAACGATATTTCTTGCAGCACAGAAGTGAGAAAAAAAAATTTATGACAAAAACGTTACTCACCTAATTCTAATGAACTGGCAATGTGTTGACCAGTAAATGCCAACATCACGAGAAGAATGTAGCTGCATTGTGATATTCGATTACTTGACTCTGCCATGTTTTTTTATGTGTGATTCTTAATGAAACTTTTCTACTAATTTCTATGAGCTTCTATCTCCGTATGTATAATAATATAAACTTTATTTCGATATGTTTTCTTCTTTTCCGTTTTGCTTCCTCCAGAACACAAAATAAAGAATGATGAAAAAATTGTTGTTGGTCTATTATACAATAAGTCATCTACAAATATCCATTTCAATTAGGTTTGATGTTGCGACTTTATCGTCATGTACTTCTCTTCCTCTCGTTTATCGTCAAATGAGTTATGGTCTCATAAGTGGAAACACTGTAAAAAAAGAGAAAGAAATTTTACATTAATTACTGATGAATGTTTTTATATGCATGCATAAAAATCTTTTTATTTCGAATGCTGAGTTGGATGAAGTGGTCATAAGGCGCATTTTTTGAGTTGATGCTGTTGAATCGTAGAAGGGGAGGTCTAGCAGTCAGGCAGCTGGAAGAATGACAGTAAGACAATAGCACTGTTGTCAATAGAGTCACCAAAAGACCGCTAGACTGTCAAAATAATTGAAAAATGTGGAATAGGTTCTCAAATGGCTCGATACTGAGAGTTTGATGACAAAACAATTTGAATATCTACTAGGACGAGGTCTAAGGGGCCCTTGGGCTAAACCAAGTGACATTAACGAAGCAAACGTATAATCTAAACTTTATAGACCCATCCAGACAAAACAAACCCAATCACAACTTCCAGACAACCGCTAAAATCTCCATTTAAGTTAAAAATCTTGTTAAGGAAGTAAAGAAAAATAAAATAAATTTTATGTGCGACATAACTGTGGTGACGATGTGACGACTGACGTTACAGTATCAAATTACACACATATATATATGCACGCTAAATGTTTTAGTATGTAACATACAAAATTTGTAGAAATCCCAATGTGCACATTCACGGAAGGATATTCAAGATGTTTTTCATCTTCGAGTTTCTTTTACTTTTATTTTACATATCCGAGTTAGACATACTTACTCAATTTTGTTGATGCTGTATATAGACATTTAACATTTTTTTGCCATTAGCATTCTTGTTTTGTTTATTCAAAGTTTTGCAATAACTCATAAATGTTTTTTAAAAGTGAAAAGTAAATAAGAGGGTGGGGGGGTTCTTAGAATCCTGGATGATATAAAATTGAAGAATTTTTCAATTTGAAAGTCTCAAAATTTTAATTAAAATATTTGCAACAAAATCTCATTAAGAACTTATTTCATTCCAAACTCAAAACATCCAAAGTTCAAAAATCCTTCATTATTCCACAATTCGCGACAAAACTTCAAAGAGTCTCGTGCAATCTTTCTATTTATTTATTTTCTTCCTGCTCTAAATAATTCATTGCAAAAATAATAATAATTCACAATATAAAACTATAAACAGCAGTTCTTTTTGTAACTGAGATATGTGTAGATGCAGCAAATGTTTAAACGAAAAAAAAGTACTTTCATATTCAGCATTCATTCATGTAAATATTCTCGTAAGTTTCTTTTCTAGCATTCATACAGAAAAAAATATGTTTCTTCTTATGAGACATTCCTACATGACATCAAGAGATACAGTAGTTGCAAAGATACAAGAACTATCAAAGTGGTTTGGGATGGTGACGAGATGAGGAATTGTAAGGCGTTTAATAAGTTATTTTTGGATTCGTTTCTAGTTTTATGAGATTCGAACTTGATCATCTGTGAGTTTAGTAATATTTGCGATTGCCTGCCAGTCAGATACCAATGAATTAGCCTATTCTAAAATATTTCGGCAAAATCACAGATAAAACTAATCTTGAGCATCCTTATTAAATCAGAATTAGCACAAACTATTGACTTTTTCACGCGACAACCGCGCTTAGTCACTCACATCCACGAAAAGCAGCAAAAAAAATATGAAAATTGTCTTCATATCTCAAAGTTCTTGTTGTTACTCCTTCATAGTCTCATTCATAGCAATAAACAAAGTCATTTAACAACCAAACTTAAAAAGAGAAGAGGAAAAAAAAACTTTTTTAATGTCGCTCATAGAATTCATTTAGCGATTTTTACGACAAAAAGATGGTAAGAGTGAAACGCATAAATTAATTAAATTTCGCCGCACAGAGACGATATGTATGCATGAATATGTTTCTCATCTTGTTTCCCTCTTCTGTCTTATTACCATGGAGCATCATTAACATTCACATTTCATAATAAACAACAATGTTTAACATAAGTAAGAAACATTTCATTTTAATATGTATTAAAATAGTACCAAATGGGGGTATGAAACTTGATACCGATCGGGAAATATAAATTAGAGCAACAAGAAATTTATTTTTCAGTTTCTTCTTATTTGTTGTCTTGTTTGTCACTTGGATTCTATTTTTTCGAGGTTCTTGTGTCTCTTTGTTGAGATGGACATGGAAAAATTGCTGATACAAATTGCAAAACATTTCGAGGTACATGATTTTGCTGTCATGTCGGAATTTACCAGGTTTTTGATTTTTTTTGACTAGCTTTTTTGGATTTGTATTGTTAAGGAGATGCCTTTGGAGGTGATTAGTAAGTTAACCTGATTAGGACTTGAACCATTTCTTACTAGAACTATTTAATTCTTCTAAAATCATCAAGATTCTTCAACTTAGTTATCAATTACAAAATCCACAGTTCTCCACGCTAATTTCTTACAGAAAATTAAAAACTCATGTTCCCTTTCCGAATTCAGACACACATCAGAAAAAATTATAATTATAAATATAAAAAAAGTTTAACCAACATTCCCATTTACACACATCAAATGAAATAAATTTTAATTAACTGTCGCTGTTGCTGTTTCTCCTTCCTTTTCGTCACTTCCAACCTCTATCTTACTCGTAGGCATTTTCAGCAAGCGAGCATGTTAGTCAGCATATTTCATGAGTCGAAAAAAAGTTTATTTTTTCATTCAGTTCTTGATAACATTTATTAACCAAGTTTCTTGCTCGTTTTTTTTCTCGATAACTTCCCCAATCTTGTTAGTTAATTTAATTTGCTTCAAGCAACTTAATTGACATTCCACGGCAAATTAGTTTCGCACGTAAACGACATACATACAGAAAAATAAGTTTATAGCTATGAAAAAGCAGCAAAAAGATTGACAAGAGAAAGAAGTAGCAACTGAGCAAGGGAGACAGCAATAAAAAGTGTGAGAATAAAAATGATGAAGAATCTTATATTTTTTTTTGTCATGTATGAATCTGAGAATGATGACAGGATGCACATGGATGAATTGACGTGCTCGTAAAAAATATGAAGAGACGAAGAATGTTTTTTGTGACCCATATCAAATGATATCAGTTTCACTTTTCCGTCATCTCATCCTTAAGATGCTTGTTGTTTTTTTTTTGTGAATGAAAATTATGAAGGAGCGACTGACATTGGACTGTTACTAATCGGCTGTCATTCTGTGGAAATTTTTCGTATCATATGGGAATGAAGTTTAATGAGATTTATGATTAAAGCGTGGTTTCATGGATTTATTTGGGAGATTTTTGACTGAGTTGCTTCAGTTATTGAACTATTCTTCAGTATTTCAAGGCTTCGTTCACAAATGACATCAATGAATGATCCTTGAATACTCTTAAATGTAGTTTGAGTCCACAAATGCAATTCATATCAATTCTGATTTTGCCTGATGATTACTGATCAATAACCTAGTTCATTCTAGCTCCTAATGAACTATTTCATATGTTATAGCTTCACAATTGCCTCCCCATTGTCTAATAACCCACTTATTGATCACCATTATCTTCACAAACGTCACAAGTGTCTCATAATACAAAAAGTTAACTGAGATAAGTATCCAGCTACAAATTTGACCTATTGTTGGAAACATTTGTCATCATCATCATCATCAACGATGAAGATAAAGACGACAAAGACAACTTACGATAAATGTTTATTTAAAGTCAAATGAGAATAAATATTTATTTAACATCAAGATGATGACTCTTTTTTTCCTCCATTTCCACTTGAATTTAATTCTTGTCTCTCTATTCAGTCATTCCGTATGAAGACATTTTGTAGCAAAACAGTGTGTAAGTTTATTATTGAGAAATCTGCTTAAATGATGCACTTGAGTACTGTTGAACATATTTTTTCTTCCATCTTCTTGTGCTTATGAACATTTTGAGACTTTACATATGGAATAATTGCATGGAACGAAACGAAAATGTTTGCTTAATTATGATTAAGAATTTCTGGAAGGAGACCATGAAGAATTTTAAATAGAAATTAAAAGTTTTTGCTTGTTGATTTTGAAAATTTTTTGAGCGCGTTTTTTGAGACTAGGAAAATTTATAATTTGCTGAATTTGGTGGTTAACCACTTGAAGACATATGAAAGCTAGGTTTGTATGTGAAAAAATTATTATAAATATCAAGAAAGCATAAAACAAGCTCCATTCATCACAAACCCACCACAGAGCTCACAACAAATTGCTACTTCAGCATAGTGTCACTTAACATTGCAACTGAACAAATAGCCTACAAGCCCACCACATCATCATATCATTAATCACTTTAATACCATCGCACATTCTCAGTCTTCATGCAACATTATTGACATTATTCGATCGTTTCCAAAGGGAAACGCAAAATGAAATACCAAAAAAAAAAGATTAAGAAAATGAAATGGCAAAAGAGGAGAGAAAAGAAAACGATTCCCAGGCACTTATGGACAATTGCTCTTCGCCTCTTCTTGTTCTTTTTGATGAACAACATTCCTCATTACTCATTGATTACTTACTCATTATTCATTCATTATTGCTCATTGAAAATGTTTCTTCTTTACATTTTGAACTTGTACTTACACATGAAAGGTTGGGATGGGATAAGATGAATGCAATGGATGGACAATTGATGAAAGATTGTGAGCGTGGATTGATGTGAAATTGAGAAGTGTTTGTAAAGTGATATGGAGGTTGTTTGGTCGTTTTATGATGCTTGAGAAGAAGAGAGTGTAGCTTTGATTTTG